AAGAGTTAGGGTGTATAGGGAGGTGTAGATATCTAGGGTTTAGGGTTTAGGGTTTAGGGTTTAGGGTTTAGGGTTTATAAATACATATATACCTGAATAAAGAGATCAAGAAGAAGTTTTTTAATAAGAGTTAGGGTGTATAAGGTTAAGGGTTTAGGGTTTAGGGTTTAGGGTTTAGGGTTTAGGGTTTCTCTATACCTGAATAAAGAGATCAAGTAGAAGTTTTTTAATAAGAGTTAGGGTGTATAGGGAGGTGTATATATCTAGGGTTTAGGGTTTAGGGTTTAGGGTTTAGGGTTTATAAATATATATAAATATATATATACATACCTGAATAAAGAGATCAAGTAGAAGTTTTTTAATAAGAGTTAGGGTGTATAGGGAGGTGTATATATCTAGGGTTTAGGGTCTAGGGTTTAGGGTTTAGGGTTTAGGGTTTAGGGTTTAGGGTTTAGGGTTTATAAATACCTGAATAAAGAGATCAAGTAGAAGTTTTTTAATAAGAGTTAGGGTGTATAGGGAGGTGTATATATCTGTTTCAGTATAGAGTTTGTTTGTGGGGTGTAAAGACTCAACCCAAATATCTATAACAGCAGCAGCAACAACCAAACGAGAAAAAGTAGATATGCTGCTGCTTGCTGCTGCTGCTGCTGCTGACAGCAAACCCTCCAGCGGCAGCACAGAGAGGTTCCCGCTCACTATATACTCAGGAACCACCCTGCACACACAATAAACCCTAAACCCTAAACCCTAAACACTAAACCCTAAACACTAAACCCTAAACCCTAAACCCTAAACCCTAAACCCTAAACCCTAAACCCTTATATACCCTTAGAAACCCTTGTAAACCCTTATAAACCCTTGTAAACCCTTATAAACCACTATAAACCCTTGTAAACCCTTGTAAACCCTTGTAAACCCTTATAAACCCTTGTAAATCCTTATAAACCCTTATAAACACGTACAAACACTGATAAACCCTAAACCCCACTAAACCCTAAACCCTATACTCAGATAAAACAGCATAAACCCTGA